TTCCGTCACTGCAAGGGGAGCGCACGCCGCGGGTTGACCGGTGCTTTTGTCCGATCTTCAAGGGGATTTAAAAGAAACAAACGATCAGGGTCAACGACCAAGTCTGAAAGGCCAGGCGACTCGGTAGATCAACACAGTCTACAACCCTTGCTTGGTGGCACTGATGACTCTAGGCCGGGGGAGGGGGAGGAGGCGGGGGGGGATGCCACAATTTTGGTAGATCGAATAGGCAAGGCAAAGGTTGGCCGCATAATATGGGGAACCGCGGAGAAGATGCGTGCATTCTGACAAGGGCGGTCATCTTTCACGCGCAGGCACAGAGTACAGAGGACAGTAAAAGCCGATAGGAACGACCATCTACTCATGGTAGTGGGAGACCATGGATGTTTTGTTTTCTCAAGGGGAAAAAAGTAATGAGGTGATGGGCTAACCGCCGTGTAGGGGGTTGGAGGGCGTGCGCAATGGAGGGCTGGGGAGGTGGCAATAGGCGGCGGAGTGGGTGGAACAAGGAGCCCTCGTTCTTTCTCTCCTGCACCCGTTCACCGCCCATTATTGCCGCCAACTAAGGGAGCTAAGGACAGGCATTATTCTGTTAAGAACGAGGACCTGCCCTGCACCTTCCCTGCACGTGTGGACTAGGCCTTTGCGAAAAGAAAAGTGAGAGGGCAAAAAGAAAAGAAAGCGGGTGAGAGACGTAAGCACCCCGGAAGGGATGGTCCGCCTAGCTGCATATCCCTCCCCATCACCAAAGAAGGTACCACTGGGCAACCCATGCAAAGAGGAATCGCCTCGATCAGCAGCAAGGTATCTGCGCTGCGGAGTCCAATACGTTCAGCCAGCTTTCAGCGGGACTGACGTGAAGAACCATCGAAAACAATCGCGAGACAACGTAGCCTCAAGGACAAGCAACTGAAGAGATTGCGCAGGATTCGAGCGTCCAACACGCAATGCGCTCTCCTCACGTGCCAGCCTCAAGGCGTTGAATCGCGAATATAACAAGGATGAAACGTGGCCCCTGTTGACGCGACGGGTACAGGAGTGCAAAGGCACAGGGAAGTAGGAGAAGTAGAGGGCGACCCACCAGACCTCAAGAGCATGTCTGCAACGGCTGCAACTGCGAGAGAATTCCTTTTTTTTTTTTTTTTTTTTTTTTTTGGGTTTCCCCTAAGGAACGAGAGCAGGTGGTGATGGGCGATGATCAAAGGTACGAGATAAAAGTGCAAATAGGAAGCAAGGAGCAGCGAAGTAGAACAAAGAGGATCGACCCCAGAAGACACCAAGACGCAACTCAGGAATCACAGGGACGCATGAATAACAACAAAAGCAAAGAGGTGCAGCAAGATAGGACGCAAGGAAGATGGAAAGAAGCACCAGAGAAAACAGAAGAGGGAAAGCAGAAGAAAAAGGAACGAAAATAACAATACCGGGTGTCACAATACAAGCTGCAAGTGTGCTGTTGCTCAGAGAGTTTCACCCAATTCTTTTCTTCCTTTAGTCTTCTGCCTTCCGCCCCTCTCCCGCCCCTCTCGTATTTTGAGCTTTTTCTGGTTCGTCTTTTGCTTTTTCTTCCATCTTGAGGAAGATATTTGCTTTTTGCTTTTTTCTTGAAGTATTGCACGAAACAGGGAAATGCAAAAGAAGTATTCAGAAGAAACAAAAATGTTTCAGACTCACCGAATCATCAATCTGCGACGGCGCTGGTAGCTGCGGATCTTCCTTATGGTACTTGGATGGAGGCGGACCCAAGTTGGCTGGTTGAACCATGGCTGCCATGGCTTGCTGGGGAGGGCGGCTTGGGCCTTTATGTCGAGACGGCGTGGGAACAAAAGTAGCAGCAGGGGAAAGGAAATGCAGTAGTTTCGTGCAACCGGTCCTGGTGCGCTAAGGGGTTGATATTGGGGGAGGGGAGACCCCTCACCAGCGAGGCTCTACAGGAGGATATGAGAGATGGGTAGTTCCAACGGAGGATAGATGAAGAAGAGCCTGACAGGATCAAGGCCCTTTTTTCCCCTTTCCTTTTCGTTCTTTGGGGGGGTGGGGGGAAAAAGATGGGTGGCTCTGTTGATTGTGATTTGAAGAAACTCAAGAGTTGGGAGTCTAGGGAATGGCTGCTGTGGGAGGGGTTATTAGGCGGCGGGATGGACGAGGATCAGGGCTTGGGGGATCAGTTAAAGCTTCTTTAAGGGGGTCAACGGCCAAGAGGCTGGAACGCTACAGAGCGCGTGTGTATGGGCAGGGAAGGCAGAAGAACAATGGAACAGACGACCATTGGAGGGGGATGAAGGAGACGACCAGTCTGACAGGCATAAAGATAGTTTGGGACTGGGAAGGGAGGGGGGCGTGTGCGAGTTAGCGCCTGTTAACAGGAGACGGGGGGGGGGAATGTTGGGGGCTCTCGCTGGGGCAAAAGAAAAGAAAAACTAGACGGCGCAGTAGAACGAGCGAAGGTACTCCGTACAGTACAAGAAACCGGCCAGAGCAGAAGAAAGAAAAAAGAAGAAAAGTGGAGGGGTCAGGGAAGCGATTCTTATTATTATTTAGTCTTGCTGCTTGACTCTGCTTAGGGAGGGGAAGCTGAGAAAGCGGAGACTAATGAACTCCAGGGGGGGGGAGGATAATGATGTCTGGAAAGAAACTTGGAAGAAATCATCGCCGGGCGCATTAAGAGAGAGCGCGAGAATAATAATATTAAAAGGCGAGAAGAGCGTTGCATCAGAAGCGGTTGCTAATTAGCAGTAGATCTAGGCGGCATTAATAATAATACCACCGCCGGGAGGCTTGTTTAGTTAGCTTGGGTTAGGAAGCAAGACCATCGGAAAAAGAAAAGAAAATCAAAAATAGGTTTGGAAAGACCAAAAAAAAAAAAAAAAAAAGAAAAGAAAAGAAAAGGAAAAAGTCAAAAAAAGCAAGAAAAAGACGCAGATGTGAGAAGTTGGTGGAAGCCTTTAGCTGCGAGGTAGCACTGCTGCTATAGGCGAGGATCAGCCTTAGTGATGAACTACGACCGACTCCGCAGCCCCGTTCAGCCATTCGCAACCCTCTCTCACTGCTCTCAACGTAAGAATGCAACCAGCCCACAGGCAGTTGATGCCAGGCATTCGCCTCAGAAAAGACCTCCACTGCGGTTTCCGCTGATGATGATGGCGACGATGATGATGGCGATGATGATGACGATTGTTTTTTCAACGTGTGCGCAGTAGGGCCCTATATACTATGCACTCGACGCGTTTAATGATATATATATGTATACATACACATATACATCTATAGAGTACTGATTGCAGACTTCGCAGTTCCTCGTCTAAGCCCGCCATGGTATATCCACTGCTTCCGTTCGAACCAACCGCGAATTCGAGAACCTGAAAACGGCAGGGGAGTCGCGGGGCATCTCGACATCCAAAAATAAAAACGAACCCCCCCTCCAAAAAATTGAAAACATTAATTTAACAACAGGTTCGACGGATTACATGTACATCCCGACTCAGGAACAGAAAAGTAAACGGCGCTACTGCTCCCCCGTTTCTTCGTCTGATCCTCACATTCTGCGTGTTTCTTACCTTCTACACCACGCCAGTGGGGAAGTTGATGTGATGCGAAGGACTCAGTCACAAAAGCCTCGGCGTCGTCTCTTGGAGAAACACAAACTTAGTAGCGAAAAATAAGGGAAGATCCTCTGGACTCCGAGGGTACGCGCCTCGTCTTACCATCCTAACCCTCCTCCTCCCCTCAAAAAAAAAAAAAAAAAAAATAAATAAAAAAAAATAAAAAAATTAAAAAAAATAAAAAAAATAAATAAATAAATATAAATATAAATATAAGTAAATATCAGATCGCAAGGGGCTCATTTTCATATCCCAAGTTCTCATCACGCGAAAGTGGCTTATTGGAACTCGTTGGCATTGTTACTTTGTTTGTACAGATAAAAAACTGATGCCAGTGATCATCGAAGGAAAGTGGATTCCAACCAGAAGTTGGCGAAGCTGGTTAAATTAGTTAGATGGTGAGAGTGGAGAAGAATGGAGCAACACAGTCGCATTTTTCTCGAACGGACTCCTCCTGTGGTTAAATTGCGTGCTAAAGGTCAAATAATCTAGATCTGAATCGCTCGAAAGCTGTTGCTCGCTTTCGGTGATATCGGACTATTATACCACTGAAGTTCTTCTAGGTTACGAGAGGGGATAATGTGACTTTTGCCCATGCCATGAAAGAAATAAAGAGGGCCATATTTAAAGTAACGTGGAATAGTTCTTCACGCCTCTGAGCTCGATATATCCATTTTGTCACACGACACTGTATCCCTAGGATGTGCAAGGACAGATCGTACAACTAATCGCCTTGAGTCTCGGGCCACTGATTATCCGACCGGTGTTCGCGAAAGATCGTGCCCTTTCTTGACAAGGGCGCCGGAACAAGGAGCGTTTGGTTGTTCGTATCCCTGGTTGGATGCGTGAACTTTAATCGAACCACTTCGTATGGGCAAGACGAACAACACTCAACAATAAGGATGGGATAGAGAGATTCAAGACGTATGAGTAGAGCTGCTACTTGTTGCGTTTTCACGTAATTTACCGCCATCCGTGTTCAGTCGTTCCCTACTCAATACTGCGGATTGTTGAAGTTGAAGCAGTTGATCTCTCCAGCAAAAGGGAAAATAAACGCCAAGGAAAAGAAAAGCAAAGAAAGCCGTTCAGCACTCGCATCATCCCCTTACCCTTCATCCAACCATTTGACCCCCTGCGTGACGAGATGGATGGATGGAAGCCTGCAAGCAACCAGGAAAGTTTACTGTTGATGCGGCTAGATACAGGGAATAATCTCTGCTCCCCCGGCACATACCCGTCAATATCCACAACACCGCGGAATTGCGCCGACGCCACAATCATATTAATCCAACTGAACTCTGCAAGAACCTTGAAGTGAAGATGAAATGATCTTCCATCGTTTTCATTTGTTATTTCCACGTATGAAACAAGATCTCCTGTCGATACTATTTTTCGAGTGATGATATCTAGATCTCCTGTCGAGTCCGTACTTGTACGGGAGCATTGCGTCTTGGCTTAAGTTATGACGGATGGCCGTGGGTAACAACTTGAAATGTTTGACCAACGGCGGAACATGCGTTTTCCAACCGAACAGAAGGCCAAGTTGTTACTTGGGTATAATCGATCAACAATCCGAAGCCCAAAAACCACAACAAAAGCCGAGAAAGCCCAAAAAGGTGATCATTCAAATTGCCCGTAGCTGACTGCTGATGATGGTGTCAATCCAACGTCATCATATCCCAGAATCTAACAGTTGGATGGACCAGAAGCTCGCTAACCTAGCACTTTGTGGTGGTTAACGATCGGTTTAAACTTGAGCTATGCAAGTTGCGTCGATGATACTTCCCGCTTTTCTGCCGCCTTTTCAACCACAGTATCATCATGATTATTCTTGTCGTCATCTCCACAACAAAAGAAGACGGGTCTCGATTCTTTGACTTTCGCTTTCATCAAGCATTTCCTCCAAGACTTGCTACCTGCTAAAGTAGTTTGACAACCTTGGCCGATCATGCAAACCGTCTCACTCTAGGCGCGGAAGTACTTCCTTAGTCTTCCTAGCTTCTGTCATCGAACCAGAGCATCCACAGGTGGTGACCAATTAGGGGCCAGATATCAGTCCCTCTTTGAGATGATCACGCCAGAAAGCTCAGCCCTCGGTTATCGGAGAAATAGTATAATGGTGTGATTGTGACTTGAACGACGATGAAACGGTTCTTATTTATTTTCTTTTCTTTTCGTGAAACCACGGCTAGCTTTGATTTGCTTTGATTCGCAGAAGCTGCTGAAACTGGAGCTGTCAAGAACATGTTTGGCACTTCCTGAATAAACTGACCCATCGCGTTGCCTTAACTATGCCCTTCGACTTGGCCAACGAAGCAGGGTACCAACCTCCGTTCCCAAAAATAGCTGATAACTTGTCATCGCCCTTGGAGTAAGCAGGAAAAAAGAAATTGGACAAGACAAAGACCCCCACATCACAACCCACTTATCTATGCCTAATCCGGGCACTTCCAAGCCTCGGATGTGCCCCCACGGTGCTACTGCTTACAAGTTACACTGCACAGTCTGACGACTCCTCACGAAGTCCTCAGGTAGCAGTGCGTGGCGCTACCCAAAATTAATCCGAAACGCTTCTTGTTCAGCCCGTTCAAGTCTTGGCAATGATGGAGAAGAGCAACACGCCCGAAAACCACGGCCACAACGTGTCTCCCGAACAGAGTAAAATGAAAGATGAAGATCAATCATAAAAATCGAGGACGCGGTAAGATTTCGCGACCAGAGAATATACATCAGGATAGTGGGGATGTGACCGCGGGAATGCTTATCTCCGAAATCACACAACAGACATTTTCTCAGTCCGCGGGACAAACAACACGCGACGCGACGCCAAAAAAGATGATACGCCGTCAGAAAAAAAAAAAAAAAAAAAAAGGAAAGGAAAGGAAAGGAAAGAAAAGGCTGTGGGAAATTGAGCGCTTGGGCCAGGCCTAAGGTCCACTAGGGCAAAGGTCAAAGATACAATGGCATGTCTCACCAAAAAGTCCAGGCAGTAAAAATTTGTTCCTCGGCCATGGAAACCGGATATGGAAATGACGAGAAGAAAGGAGAGAAAATTCCCATAAACCGTGTCAAGAGCCGGTTATCCCATTTGCAATTGTCCGCGATGATAATAATAATAATAAGAATCATCGGCCGTAAATGGAGAACGCAAGAAAAATATATCACACATTCAAGCAAGCTAACGCGGGGCGGAAAAATAAAACCAAACAAACCAAAAGAGGGGAAGGATGAGCAAATGGATCCATCGAAAATCCGTCTGATTGCAGATCTTGGACGTAATGGCCCACCTTTGTGGAGAGTTGAACCGTTGTAGGGCATGCCCATAAGCGAAAATGAGGGCTCCCTCATTCATAGCCTCAATTATAGGGTCCGGTTGGCGCCCTCCAGTCACTACCCTGCTCGCCATTGCAGGCATTTCTTTTAAGCATATTTTCAGCATGTACCACTGGACAGGGGGTGCGCGGGAATTTATTTCGGGGAATCAGGTAAGTGATCATTTCTTGTGATTCGGAAAGTAGCAAAGCAAAGGCATTTGCCTCTCAGGAACAGATGCCCTCCAGATTGAATTTTTAACAGTTTTCGTCCGTTTCTTGAAGACAAAGTTTGCCTCAAACTCTGGAGATCCTGAAGTCAATCGATGAACAGAAACAAAGAAAACGAAGTTCGGAATTGAAACTTGATCTGACTCCATCTGAGGGGGGTTCCTGTCCCAGAACACAAACAGGTCCCAATAATCAGCCATTTTCTCCCGTTTTGAAAGGTTTTTCGCAGACTTGGACACCATATGACATCGATTCTATATCACATTCTCCAATTCTTGACGCCTGTGGCTGACAGCCCAAGCCACCGTATCGTGCCATCTGCCAATCCCGAATTAAAGAAAACAAACGTGAAACCATTAGCTCAACCAAGACAAACGGAGGAGAAACTTAGCCTCCAAACATAAAAAGTGAAGTTTTGGAAACTCGTTTTCGTGATGCAGCACGCTCGCCCATGAATAAGAATATCTAATTCGTATCACGATTTTGCTCCGCCACCCAGGGAATAATTAAGCGCATCTTCTTCGTTCTGTGGCTGCAAACTAAGTTGCGCTCGAAGCACTCTCGTAAATATTCTTGTTTTGGAGCTCTTCTACCCACCCGCTGATGGATGAGAGGCTAAGCACAGTTCGTGTCTGAGGGAAGCCAACGATAGCGCCAATTGCAACGGGGACTTGGAATTGAAAGCAAAAGAACAGAGAAGAAAAGACAAATGCAAAAGCAAAAGATATTGTCAATGTACTGGGGAAAAAAGTCCTAAACAGTTATCCCTGGTCAGGAGCCATCGCGTCTCTCGCGCTTCTTTTGCACAAGAACCGTGCATACCCTGTCTGCTTAATCGATGTTCCCTGCAACATCCAATTTAGACTCATCAGGGAATCTAATTTTCAGGGGACACAAGGGCCTTGTTGTTCAACACACTTCGTTCACATGTCCAAGCTCAAAAAAAAAAAAAAAAAGACCGAAATAAAAGCAAAAAACCCTGTGTGCGCAGGACGCCAGGATAGGATAAGGTTCAACAACACGCATCACATCGGCCCATATGCCATTCCATTTCGTGGTCTTGGCCAGCGACATACTAAATGGGTAAAGGCGCAAGAACCACGAATTTTCAGTGCCGTTGGCTTGCTATGCTGGCTCCGTCGGTGCACGCCACAAGCCACTATGCCAGAAGGGGATCGGGATGTTCGGATTGGCATTTATTATTGCCCCGTCGCCTGAAAGGCTGAAACGACGTCACGAGGAACAAGCGCAGAATATAAGCTCTGTTGGAAGGAATTGACGTTAGTTGCGATTAAGAACCAGACGATGTTTTACAGCCAACCACAATTTTCATAACCCCGACGCTACGGATAGCTTTTCAGCGCGTTAAATCGGACGAAAGAAGGGTGGTGACCTTAGTCCTCAAAGCCCATGTCTTGAGGACATTCTAACCGAAGGTTAGTCATCGAATGAGACAATGAAGATATCCATTTTGAAGGTGGGTATTAGCGAAGATATGAGTGGTAATTCGGAGGGTCCTTTCGAAACTTCGTCATGTCAGGAAGTTATGTGGTTTTCTTTTTACAAACGGTCATTTTCCTTGCGCAATCGGGAGGTCAGTACTCCGTAGGTGGTTTTACGAACATCATAACTAAACTTTAGGCATCCTTGCGGACCTGCAAGCCCTATTAGATTTCCACGATGTTGAACTATAAATACAATTTAATTTACTAGTGTGAGAATGAACGGAGATATTACCCGCAAGTTCCACAACGCTCGACATCACGAAATGGACGGGGAATACTGGGGGAATATGTCACTGCGCAGAAAGTTATTGCACTGATAATTTTCTAACGGGAAAGAACCTATAGTACAAGGCACGAAAAAAGCCGGCACAAATTCTGCTTGCAATTGCCCTGTACCACATTATGACCTGAAGATTCCTTTTGGTGTGTCAACAGGGATTACGTTCCCCCACTTCAATGGCTTTTTGTTTGGGGTCACTAAGTACGGCCAGGGTGTAGACATTGGGGAGCCCCCCCTGGGCATTAAGGGTTCCATCCCCGGAAAAATAGTGGACAGAACTTAGAAGCTCCAGTTATCAGTAAAAGCCAAAGGGGTTGAGCTCCCGGATCGACCCTAGGAATCTAGTACGTGGCTCTCCCCTTCGCTTCTTCCCACACAACCCCCTGTGATCCGCAACATGGAAACGCCATTTTTGGCGCTCCGAAACGGCGAAACCTGGAGCTTCATTCGGCACGGCTAGAGCGGCGCAAAAGGTTACGATGTCATAAGTACCTTTCCATCTAAATTCCTGAAAGGATGAGTTTCGTCTCTCATGCGAAAAGTTGTCTCCTTGTTTGAGACAAATCCAAGCACCAGCGAAATCCGGGATTATTTTCTCAAAAATTAGTTTGTCAGAACATAATCATGAGCATATCATGAGGATTGAAAAATTATTAGGGTTGTCTGAAATCTAATGCCACGCCCCCTGAAAATTTTTCTGAGCGAGCGACAACCCAGTTTGTCAATGTGACTTGGACGGGATGAGAGAAGCGAGTTGATCAATCTCTCCGACCAGTAATATCGCAACAGCTGAGAGCTTGCCACTCTGACTCTCAAAAAATGATAATGATTGACAGACCGGAAAATGCTGCCAGCGTTGCATCGTAATGAAACATGGACGAGCGCTTCGGACTTGCTATGATGATTTCACATCAACCTCTAGTCTTCCCTTTTCACTTCACGGCTCTTGAGACCTGCATTGATTGGCTTGACAGACGGAATCCTCGCCAATTCATGGTTAAATAATAGCCAGGGTTGGAACGAGGCCCTCAAACAACGCTAAAAATCCTCCTCTGTTAAGCGCTAAGCTGGAACAGATATGGCTGATTTCACCCTAGTGCTGATCAATAGCCGTAGCAATTTCCAAACCTCGCCAGACCCTCTTTCTTTTCTTTTTTGATTTATTTTCTGATGCAGATTTAGAACGCGGGAACGCATACGGAGAAAGGTGACAAGCTCCGCGAAGGTCTATGTAGTATGGATGGGCTTCAGGCTTGCTTTCTCTCCAACAGTCCGACAAAATGAGGCCCAGTCCAGCTTAACGAAGGCGTCGGATAAAGAAATTGCCGCTGAACCGAGCCGACAATCAATTAAAGAGAAGAGACCTTCGAGCGGGGCCATTTCTAGCATCGTGGTGCCTTCGGCCGTTGTCTTGGCCGGCAGTCAGAAGTTGAGGCATTTTGCAACACTGATTTTATTGACGATGCGCTAACGAAAGCATTGCCTTATGGAAACAGTTTGAATGCCACCGCCTTAAGGGCACAAATCTGGTATCGGGGATTATTATGGACGGGAATGTGCATGAATTTCAGGGATATTTCGGGCCTCAAAGTGATTTGATACGAACAAAAAGTTGTTGTCCGTCTGGGCTCTAACTGAAACAGGAAGGTCATGTCTCTGACTCAATCACTCAGTCTCAAAATTCAAGGAAGAATCTGCAAAGCCTTCCGGTTTTTTGGTTTTTGAACAAAAATTGAAGGCAACAAAGATTGGTTCTTGTCTCTTTTCTTTCCCTCTTGTTGGCGCGCTAAACTCGAGAAGGAAGGCGATGGTTGTAAAAGTTGTCGGAAACTCTCCAACAGGATGAAATCACCACAGGCGGGCGAATCATATGGTGCCCGTTGAAGCACGCGAAACATGCAATGCAGCGCCAACCAACAAGTACCGAGTGCGCCAAGTCGCCGGAGAGAATTTGAAACTCGAAGGAGGCGTTGGCTACGAACACGCGAGAGGTTATTGACTGGTCTCCCCGCTTCCGTCAAACATTCCAGAATCGGTCTGTCGTGAAGCACACTTAGGCCATTCTTAAACGTTGATTAAAATTGTCGAGAAGGGTATGCTAGGTCTCTCGAAATCCCCCTATTCCTCAATTTACACGATGAAAAGCTAAATAAGTTGAAAACACTATGCCCAATCGGAGAGTTTCTTCTGAGAAGTACGGAGTACGATTGCCGAATCATGACGATCAGTGCCAGACATGGCGCCCAC